CCGGAACAAAATTCGATAAATTTTCCCGTCATTTTTTGAATTTTTTTTTCTCCCCTCATAAGATTTTAGGATTTTTCTTTCTTTTTTGAAAGATGTTAACCTTACCATCATTTTGGAAATAATCATTAGTGTATTACTTCATCATTTTTTCTTCTTTTTAAGATTATTTCCAAACATTTTTTTTTTAGTTGGAACAATAAAGAAAAGCCCTTTTTGTAGCGATTCAGAATACCGGAAAAATCAGTTATCCGGAATAGCGATGGTTCCGATCGTTCCGGATAATCGGTTCCCTACTGAATAACATGTTCTATATTTGTATTATTAACCTTCAACTTTTTACTTTGAGTTTTGATGATTAAAATTTAATTTGCATTTGCTACATTTTATTTTTATTGAAAAATATGAAGTGTTATTTATGTTTAATTTGTGTAGCACAAGGAGAAGAAAGAAAAGGAAATTGTTAGTTTAATGAAACGATTAACTAAACGAAAATCTAAATCACCACCTCCATCTGATTATTCTTGTGATAATCCCTCATTTGTGGATGGAACATCATCATCACAGCAATCATTATCTGCTGTGCATGTCAGGTAAGCTAATAAAGTTATAAATCTGTGTGTCATTTAACATATATGAATTATAAAATATATATACTTAGTCATTGCTTGTTTAACAGTGAGTTATTTGAATGTAGATCAACATCTTGTCCCAGTGAAGCTTTGGGTAGTCAAAATGCGAACCATAAAAAAACTGGATCTCTTGATGGTTCCAATGGTGAAGTTCCAAAATCATCATCACGACCTAAGCAGCCAGCGCCGTTGGTGCGGGAAAGGTTGTTCATTGTTTTTTATTTAAATTATCTTTTATTGGTACACTTTAAGAAATGAAAATAAATTGTAAAGAAGCGTAAGAAAACTCAGATATTACAAATGCATGGTACAATTTTTAATTTCTAGTTACGATTCTTTGTAGTAATGATATAACAATTTAGTTTGCAATTGTAAGCAGGAATTATTTTCAATATGCAAACATTTAATACTTTGAATGAATATTGTTAAGTCTCATATATATTTATTTTAACTATCCGTGTCAAAATCTTTTTAAACAAAGATAATAATATTCACATGTATATTTTGTTACCACTTAAAAAATAAATTCTTCCACAGAAATCGGTATTTTAGGCAAACACCCATGAAATTTCTTGTACTGTGTCAATAGTAAAATCAGGGAGAGGAAAATAAAAGACCCTGTTTTTTTTTTTTTTTTTTTT